CATGTATTATCTTGTAGACGAGGATAAGATCACCTCTTTGCTGCCTGTAACACAGAGGGAATAAATTAAGGCAATTCAGTCTTTCTGTGTAGCAATGGTTTTTTAGACCGTTTACTAGCTTTGTTGCACGCCGTTGTACCCGTTCGAGGCATTCTTGGTCCTTTACCAGCCATGGCCGCCATGCTTGTATGCCATATTCTAAGTGGGGCCGAACAAATGTGCCGTAAACTCTCCCCAAAAGGTCTTGGTCAAAATTTACGAAAGCCCTTTTTATTGCAAGCAGCACTCACATGGCGTTTTTTGCAGCCTTGTGACAGTGCAGTGTTGGTTTCAGGTTGTTCTGTATCCAAACCCCGAGATCCTTCTGTGGAGATTCTGCGGGGAGCCTTATATCTTTCAGGTGATAAGTCCTCAGACTCTCATTTGAATGAGAGTTGGTTGGACGCAGATGAAGGACGGCACACTTCTCCACATTGAAATCTAGAAGCCATTTCTTCGACCACGCTTGCAGTCGGTGCAGATTATCTTGAAGGGATCTCTGATCATTCGGACCCTTAATGACTTGCCAGAGCTTAACGTCGCCTGCAAACATTATTTTGCCGCAGTCGAGTTCCTGAAGGCTGTCGTTAACGTAAAGGATGAAGAGCAATGGTCCCAGAACTGAGCCTTGCGGCACACCACTGGTCACATTCACCCCTTCTGACATATCATCTGCGATACAGACACGTTGTTTCCGACCAACCAGAAACGCCCTAATCCAGTTCAGAAGATCTCCCCGGATGCCGATGTCGCTCAATTTGTGAAGAAGACGTTGGTGTGGGACAGTGTCAAAAGCTTTGCGGAAATCGATCTACACGACATCGACCTCAAAACCCTCTTCTAGAGCCCTGGTCCAGATTTCCAGACAAGCTAGCAGATTTGAGAGGCAGGAGCGTCCTCTTCGGAAGCCATGTTGAAAATCCTGCAAGGTGTTATTTTCTTCACAAAACTGCTGTATAGCGCTCTTTACTATAGCTTCCATCGTTTTGCAAGGGAGGCAAGTTAAGCTAACAGGTCAAAAGCTGCTTGCTGTCATCCTGCTACCTCCCTTATGCAATGGAACGAGGTTAGCTGTCTTCCACTGTGAGGGCAGCCTTCCTGTTCTCATTGACAGCTCAAAGAGAGTCGAAAGAGGCTTTGACAGCTCCCTTGATAGCTCCTTAAGTATCACCCCGGGAATTCCGTCGGGTCCAGGAGACTTATCAGGTTTTATTTGACTGAGGACGCGTCTGACTTCTTCCACGGAAAAGGCGACGGTTTCAATGACGGCAATATTTTGGCGCATTTGAAGCTCCCGGCTGTCTCGGTCCATTTCAAACTGCTGATTGTCTTCTAGGGACTCCTCCGTAAAAACCGATTGAAAAAATGAGACAGTAATCGCACTTTCTGTGACCCTTCAACTAATCAGTTTCCGAGGCTATCCTTTAGACACGCAATTTCGTCCCTATGTTTCCTCCTACTGCGGATGTACCCGTAAAACTTCTTGGGACATGTAATGGATTCTGCTATCAGTCGACGCTCGAAAGAAGTTCTAGCAACCCGTATTTCTTTGCGGCATTTATTGCGCTGATCTTTATATTCGGCGAGTGACCTTGGATCTCGAAGTTGCAAATACTTTTTCCAGAGTCTCTGTTTCTTCTTCATGGTCTTTTTTGCCGTCGGATTGACCCACGGCGGTCGCATACATGGTCTTGTCATCTTTATTGGACAATGGGATGTTCTCTTCTCCGGAAACGTTAACGAGGACTGGAATTTATTCAAGGATCGTTTACTGCATCTAATGAAGAACCACTGTCCCTTATCAAAGCCTAGGACATCCAACCGCCCTCAGTGGCTAACACGAGAACTCAAAAGGGAGATCAACAAGAAAGGAAGGTTATGGAAGAAATTTCGTGAGAACAACAACAATGCAGCGTTTACAGAATACATAGTTCAAAGAAATAAGGTGAAAAGTCTGATTTTCAGGAGGCGACGGGATTTTGACAGTAATTTGCTCCACCGAGCCGTTAAAAATCCGAAATTGCTCTACAGCTATTTGCGGAAAAGCACACGTAACAGGAATCTCATTCCTGTTATGAGGGGTGATGACGGCTTGGATATATCGGACAGTACAAATGAGGCTGAGCACTTTTCTCAATTTTTCCGATCCGTTTTCACAAGAGAAGCAGACTTTACCCCATCTAATTCTGAGAACATGAGAGATCCCGCTATCGAAAATATTGTGTTTCGAGAAGAAGCGATTTTGGAAGAACTGAAAAGCTTGAAGGAATGTAAATCTTCCGGTCTGGACGAGATCCCAGCAAACCTGCTCTTTGAGCTTGCCCAGCAGCTGGCCAAGCCACTATCCTTTCTGTGCCAGAAATCGTTTGATGTTGGAATTCTTCCCACAGACTGGAAGACGGCCCACATTACACCCCTTTACAAAAGCGGTAGTCGTGCTCTTGCAACGAACTACAGACCCGTCAGTCTGACATCAATCTGCTGCAAAGTGATGGAGAAAGCCATCAAAAAGGAGTTGATGGCTTACTTGGAAACCCACAGCCTCTTGTCCAATGCACAATATGGTTTCCGTAGGGGAAGATCATGTGTTACGAACTTGCTATACACAATGCAAAGTTGGACACGAGCACTGGACGCAAAACACACCGTGCATGTTTCCTATATTGATTTCCGGAAGGCGTTTGACAGTGTTCCGCACCAGCGTCTCCTACACAAGTTGAGAATTATGGGCATCGGTGGCAAACTTCTCAAATGGATCGAAAATTTCCTTGTCGGCCGCTCCCAAATTGTCTGCGTAGAACAACAGCAATCAGGGTGCACATTCATAGAGAGTGGGGTCCCACAAGGCTCGGTGCTCGGACCAGCCCTCTTTCTCTTGTTCATCTGGGATTGTGTAGATGGGTTGGACTGTGATTGTGCCATGTTTGCGGACGACATAAAAATCTGGAAAGTCATCCAGAATGCTGCCGATGAGACCAACTTCCAAGGAAATCTTTGTCGATTGGACGAGTGGTCCCGCAGATGGCTCTTGTCCTTCAATTTGAGCAAATGCACCATTCTGCGCCTCGGAAATCAGACCTATAGTACGCGGCAATACCATCTGAACGGAATGCTACTCCAAGAAACAGAAACTCAGAAAGATCTCGGAGTTTGGGTTGCAGACAGCCTAAAGCCTTCTACACAATCCTGTAAGGCGGCCAAGGCCGCAACCCCAATGCTATATGCCATCAAGCGGACATTCGTAGTTTTCGATGAAGACTGCTTCACCAAAGTCTTCCGCACGTTTATAAGGCCCCATCTCGAATATGCAATTCAGGCCTGGAGACCGTGAACGCATCAGGATTACGATCTGCTCGAAAGGGTGCAGAGGCGAGCAAGAAAATTAATAAGAGGTCAAAGTGCACTGCCATACGAGATCCGCTTAAATAACCTTAATCTTTTCAGTTCAGTTCAGTTTATTGAGGGAAATAGGCGTAAGCCTTTTGAGTACCCTATTTGCAACGTAAAAAATGTGTGGTGTACAGATAGATGTTCTGGGCTAAAATAGTTCGAACACGCCCATAATGGTGGGATAAAATGAGAAGGAGTTACAGGGGTGAGCTCGACTTCTCATCGCTCTTGGTCATTTCGGAACATAAATATGTCCAGATTCTTCTTAAAACTTTGTATAGATGGTGACATCACAACATCTGCGGGAAGCTCATTCCATGGTTTGACCACCCGAACCGAGAAGGAGAACTTCCGCACATCCAGCCGTGCCTGCTGAATGCGCAGTTTTAACGGGTGAACTCGGAGGTTGGTCGTGGCAGCAAATTCAAAAAAGTCCTCGAAGGCCAGACTGCAATCCAACCCCTTTACAATGCGGAAGGCTTGCAAAAGATCTCCGCGAAGTTGCCTGTAACTCAAAGGAAAGAGGTTCAGATTTACTAGGCGGGTCGCATATGGAAAGGAGCTTTGACCCCTGACCATCTTCGTGGCTCTCCTCTGGACTCTTTCGAGGCAGTTTTGATCCACAACAGCCCACGGCCTCCAAGCTTGTATGCCGTACTCTAAATGCGGCCGGACGAATGTTCCGAATGTCTTAGAGAAAGCTTCTTCGTCAAAGTCCATAAACGCACGCTTGATGGCGTACAGTACGGACATTGCGGTTTTTGCCCTCTCGAACAGTGGGCGGATGGCTTTAGGGAACTCGTCGTAAGCACACCGAGGTCCCTTTGGACTTCGACCTCTTGTAGGGCTGCACCGCCCAGAAAGTAGCCTCTTGTGCTGGCGGATCTGGCAGTGTTGCCTAGGCGAAGTATGCTACATTTGGCAACGTTGAACCGCAGGAGCCAACGGTTTGACCACTCCTCCAACCGATTCAGGTTCATCTGCAGTCTGTCTTCATCGGCAGGACCCCGAATTACACTCCATATCTTAATGTCATCCGCAAGCATTGCTACTTCACAGTCTAAATCTCTTGCGGCATCGTCCACGTAGACAAGGAACAAAATGGGTCCCAGTACTGAACCCTGGGGGACACCACTATCGACTATAGCCGGGTCTGATTTTCCCCGATCGACGCACAAAACCTGGTGTCGACCCACAAGGAAGTTTTCGATCCATTTAAGGAAGTTGCTTCCGATCCCTATTTTTTTCAGCTTATGTAAGAGACTTTGGTGTGGCACAGTGTCGAAAGCCTTCTGGAAGTCGATGAAGGCTATGTGGACCGCGTGCCTGTCGTCGAGAGCTCGGGTCCAGCTCTGGAGAGATTGCAGCAAGTTTGTCGTGCAGGATCTTCCTTTTCGGAACCCATGTTGGCATTTCGATAGCAGGCCGTGAACTTCCAGGAATTGCATCAGTTCAGTCTTTATGATCCTTTCCATAACTTTGCAGAGAATGCATGTCAAGCTTATGGGCCGGTAATTTGTCGTCGCTGCCCTGTTACCTCCTTTGTGTAGCGGAGTAATATGCGCCAGCCTTCAATCGACAGGAAGTGTTCCAGTGTCAAATGACGTTTGAAAGAGCATCGACAAAGGCGCAGCGAGCTCACTGGCAAGTTCCTTCAGAAATTTGGGTGGAATCTCGTCTGGTCCTGGCGACTTCGATTCGTTCAATGCCTCTAATTCTCTTCGGACAAAGCCTTCTGAGAAGAGTATATCACTGACGCTTGGAGTCGGCAGTTCTTCTGTGGAGGGAGGAAGGAACCTTGCCTCGTTTGTGTAGACTGATTGGAAGAACCGTGAAAAATACGCAGCTTTATCCCTACTATCAGCGATCTCAACGCCATCAGTAGTCTTTATCAAGGGGATTTGATGCCTGTTCCTTGTAGTTCGTCGGAGGTAGCTGTAGAGCAATTTTGGGTTCTGCGTTGCTTTTTGTAGCAAGTTCTTCTCGGATTCCCGTTGCGTTTTCATGGTCAGGTTCCTCAGTTTGTTCCTCTGTGTCTTGTAGGTGTTGAAGCATTCAGCTTGTCTAGTGACGCAGTATTTTCTCCACAACTTGTGCTTCCTGTTGATTTCCTTCTTGAGGTTGCTATTTAGCCACCCAGGGCGTTTGTTCAGTCTTACGCTAGTCAGTGGGCAGTAGTTGTTGATGAGCTGCAGAAAGACATTCTTGAACAGCTCCCAGTCATCGTTGGCACTTCCCGTAAACAATGAGCCCCAGTCAAGACTGGATAAGTCTGCCCTCATCTGATTGAAGTCGCCCCACCAAACATTACGCCTTTTGTGGTCTGGAGTATGTGAAATGGAGAATAACGAATAATCCCACACAAGCACTACGTGGTCACTTCGGCCAAGAGGCGGCATGGAGGCGATCTCGTCTATGCTGTCTGGTGTTTTCGTAAAGACCAGATCCAGGCAGTTTGCCCTTTGTCCTTCACGTGTTCTCGCTGGGAACATTACATGTTGTGTGAGGCACGCATTTAATGTTTTGCTCAACAGGCGGTAATCGAATGCCGATTTTGGACCTGACGCTTGGAGGGTATTCCAGTTTGTTACTGGTGCGTTGAAGTCGCCCATAATCATGATGTTAGGTCGACTGGAAAATTTCTCCAACTGCTCCAATAGTTGAGTGTCGGCGATTCGGTCTGTCCTAGGTGGTCGGTAGACAGTGAGGACATCGAGACACGGGGAACCGGTAGCCTTGATGGTCAACCAGATAGCTTCCGTACTGCACGCAAACTTGGCTGTGTTATCCGACACTGCCAGACCGTCATTCACATACACAACGATACCACCACCCTGACGATGTTCCCTGTCCCTCCGATAAATTTGGTATCCAGGCAAGGCTACTTCGTTATCGCTAATATTCCCGGACAGCCAGGTCTCAGTTACTGCTAAAACATCTGGAGACAGCTCAACAAGGCAAAGTTTTAGTTCGTCTAGTTTCGATATGAGGCTTTGGGCATTCGTGTACAAGCACCTCAGTTTAGCACCAGCCGAATTTCCCGTTGCATTTGTTACTGCTGTGAGCATTACTTCGTTATCGCGGACGTCGTGTTTTCTAGGCTCTTCCGTTACCTGATTGGTTCCATTTACATGCCTTGTTTCAGTCAGATCACTGGACGCTACGGGCTCACTTGTGTTGGCGCCTTGATCAGGTGGTTCAACTAAGCTGTCTGTTTTAGCTGAGTAACTGTCGTCGTTCGTAGTATTACAGGCTGGTTCCACTGAAACGGCATATATTTCCGAAATACCTCCAAGACAAGTTCCCGGCGTTTCAACCGTTCCGCTGGTGAATAGTCCGGTTGAAAAAAAACCTGTTTGTGTGTGTTTCTGAGATAGGTTTTTTTAGAGAGGATAAACTTGATTTGCTCTTTGTTCTCCAGCATAATTTTGAGAGGGCAAGGTGGTTGTGCTACTGTCCTGTCTTCACTCCTTTTTCCTATCCGGAATGCTTTCAGAACCTTTATTTCCATGTCTGCCGGCAGTAAATGATTTAGAAGACCATGAAAAGAAGCAAGGTCCTCTGAGACACGGTCTTCAGGTCTGACTGCATTCGATTCTGACAAACCCTGAATAACCAGACACTGCTGGCGAGCATGGTCCTCCTTACTCTGCCTTTCCAGTGAATGCGCTGCATGTCGGAGAGGACGATTTACGGAGTCATCGCTTGGACGCACACTGTTACTGTTTACCGACTGTCCCGAGCAACCCATCAGGGCTGGCTGGGACTTCAGAATCCTGTCATGGCGTTTCCCTCTCCCCTCTACCCACGGGTTTATGTCTTCGCATTCAGCTACGTGCTCTGTAGTGCGCTCAGGGTGGTTGCCAGAACAAGAGGGCAACAGTAGACTGGATGACCCAGGTATATCGTCTCCAGGTAGAACAGAAATCCCGTCACTTACAGCAAGAGGCTTAGGTGAGATGGCTTCCGCGACAGGTAATTTTTTTGCGACATCGCTTAAGACATCGTGCGTGGGAATCAAGTCTCCCTTTATCGGCGGCTTCATTTTCATTGTCCTGCTGTTACCGGCGTCTGCGGTTTTGGCTGTTGAGTTGCTACTCGTGTTTGAAGATTCCGCCGAGGAGATATTTTTTCGCGTTTTTTGCGTTTTGCTCTTCGTTTTTGGGATTCTAACACTGGACACGTTCTGGTCGACTACGGTCTGTTTCACGAGCGTCCTTAAATCAGCAAGCTCCTTTTCCAGCTGTTCTACTTTGATTTGAATATCTGCGCACCCACCACAAGGCTCGTCTTCATACCTCATACTTTTTGCGGTATTTACGCTTTTTGCACGCTTTGCTGGTCGTTGGCTGGAGGCGAAGGTAGAGCGAGCACAGGTTCTGGATGCGAAGGACAACTCACCGGACTTATCTTCCAAAGAGGTGCCGTCGCTGGCCGTACTACTACAGTTAGCTTGTTGAGAATCCATAAACTTCGACGTGATATAATATGTATAATTTCGTTTTCGATGTTATAACGAATACGTCGGCTTATATATGATGAATTAAAGTGAGTATTCAAAACTCAATAAGCGAAAAAATACTTAAAATCCGATAAATTGTTTTGAATTTAATCAGAAGCGACTTAGCCCTTTCCAGATCTCGTGGGACTTGAATAACTGCAGACCTTGAAAGGTTTTGAGCGATTGGTTTTCTAGGCTGTATATCCGCGAATCGGTTGCGTAGCCCGTTGCGCTGTCAACTGAACCGTGCTGATAAACAAATTGCACTTAATCCAGGTTCCTGGCGAATTTCGATGCGTGAAAAAATATTCCAAAAATGCACAAAGTAATTCTGTACGTACGGTTCCAGTATCAATGACAGAGACTGTAACTGTGGAATGGTAACCAAGTCGAAATTGTCCAAGTTGGAGCGCAGAATAATTCCGTCGTGTTCAGTTGGGCTCTGAGTTGTAGGCAGTTGCGCGGAGACATGATACAAACTTTCCGTATCGTTCGCGGCTTGAATTGTGCCCTTCGGCGCGATGACTTTTTCCAACTCGCCACTACAACTCACCTCCGGGGACATCCGTTCAAGCTACGTGTGCCACAGGGTAGACTGAATGTGAGAAAATATTTCTTCTCCAACCGTGTCGTGGAACCGTGGAATAACCTGCCCGAGACGGTTGTTATGTCTCAATCTGTGGAGACATTTAAATGTCGCCTTGACAGATATATGCTGCAGCAACAAGCGGACTATGTGACGTTTTAGCCATGTGACCAGTGACATATGTGAATCAATGTATGCATTCACTTAATGCTGTAATTTCTTCCCATTTTTGCATGTTTATCGATTTTTTTATGTACAAATAGGGAGTTCGAAGGCGTAAGCCTATTTCCCTCAAATACACTGACTGACTGACTGAATAAACTGGGCGGTCATACCCTACAGCACACAGTTGCAATTAAAGACGTAAAGAGAGGTCTGTCCAAACAGGAGACGACAGTACGCAGTTTGTAAAAACCCTCGATTACCCAAATAATAACTCACAGTTACTCTGAACGATCTAAAATTTCCTACTCGGAAGATCGCCAGACTAAGGTCTCTGGCCACTAAATGACATTATTTCATACGAAATGCTTTCTTTTCTTCCAGGAGCAGGATTTTTTCGAGGGACTTTTGATGCGCCGACTGAGAGCCCGCTTTAAGGGTTTCCCAGACTTGCAAACTTAGCAGTAGATTAATGCTTTTCAACAACTCACTTAAACAGACTTTTATTCACTTAGTTTAAATGTGTGTTCTGTGACCACTAGGTGTCTTCTTTACGCGTTTTCGTCCTAAAATAGCATTATTTACGATTCAGGACGTCCTTTAAGTGGAAATATAAACCAATGGGTTAATAAAATGGCACCTGAAATATTTTGTCTTAGTCAACGTGAACCTGGCCTTCCCATCATCGTCTAGTCCCACCTAATGACGGGGCCACTTTCTGGCGGGGCATGCACAAGATGCCCTACGTCTTTCAGTGCAACTTAATCTGGATTATTGCAATAACCGTAGACTTAGTATGTGAATTTCACCTTTTAGTTCTGATCGGATTGCACCCTAAATTAGAATGTGACCTCTAATTGCATGAAATTGAAGTGTAAATTCGCTAGCTGTTTCACTGTGATGGCATTGCAAAGAATTTGGGGTGTAATGTCCAAAAAATAATTCAAGCACTCATACAGCTATGTATAGGTATCTTAAGGAAACGTTTGAGAGACTCTATCTTTCATAGAGAATTTTCATAGGAGGCTCCCTTGCCATCAAAAATTGAACATACACTCGTTTATTGGCTGGGGAGGGCTGGAAGAGGGCAAAGAATGGACTTCCTGGAGATTGGCCCCGCTTTATGAAAGAAATTACCTGTGTGAAGATTCCAGAACGGCAGGTCTAAAGAACGATTGACCGAGGACGTCCCAGCTAATTAGGTACTCGCCATATACAAACAAAAATGTCTGTAACATCATCTTGTGGTGCGTTATCTCTTAACTGCGTTATAATTCGCAACGTTTATGATTGCCCAAAAGACTCTTCTGCCTCATAACACCTACCTCTACATTGCCGGTCGCATATCACTCAGTACGCACATCCAAGACATTCACAACGCAGCAACTGGGGTTTCATGCCAGGGGCAAATCTAGAGTGGGTAAGATGTCCGTGTCCCAGGTCTTATAAAATTTACCGTGCACCAGGGCTGGCTACTAGACGAGACGATGTATGCTCCATTCCCACCCATTGGATATTGTCTAGGAACTTAAACGTGGTGGAGGCATTAGCAGTAGCGCTGTCCCTCGAGATGAGACCAGGTAGAGAAGCCGAAGGCCAGGAATCTCATCACCGTGGAAGATAAATATCGAAGACTTCGTGCTCAGAAGTTGTGTATGTTGCACCAAATAAACAAAGCGAGTGATCGTTTTTTTCTGACAAAGGATCGTTTAGCAGAATCTTTTACTCGCTAGACAAATTATTTCGGTTAGTATTTACGTTAGTAGAAAAGAACTAACGATATTTAGATGCACGTACCACGGATGCAATAAGAGAATATTGTCGCTCACATTGACACAGGCGAAAGCACTTCTATGTATGTAGATGACTCAGAAGCCGCTCAAGCTCATAACATACATGATGTAGTAGATATGTGCAGAAAAATAAAGACAGGCTCAGAACTTAAGGAAACGTTATCTATAAAATACTCAGACCTCACTTATGCAAATATATTAAATTTATTATTCCCAGTTCCATGAGCGCACGTCTGTATGAATGCAAAATTCAAGCTTACATCACGCATGTTTCTTCGCCATTAGGCTACTACTACGTCTTCTTCGGCATGATGTCCACAACGGGCAGGACGAAATCAGAAGGCGTCTAGAATCCTTTATCTAAGGCGTTATCTAAACGCGATGGTCTCAGTTGCTCATATAGGGAGCTGATAATAACGACACCATCCGCATCAGGAGGACTTTATTAATCAAGTCATCAAAAGTTGTGAATATTATGTTTATTTTTCATCGAATATCACTTATGAGGAGTCCACTTATCAACACATTATTATTAATAACTTTACCATCAACTGGCAATATGCCAGTTTACGAATCTTTGTCTTGGGCAATCTCCTACGTCAGTCCTGTTGTACTTTTTATCATTTATCTCAGTGCATTTGTCTTAATTAATAGTGTTCTCTGAGAACCGAGCAATTAAATTAATGATATCAGACGGTAGTGAAGTTGAAAGCTTTGGTTTTACTATTGGATTTCTGAACAAAAGCATGTCTGGCACTTAAATCTATGAGAGTAAGTTTGAGATCGTAACCCAGGTTCCGAATTATTTCTTTCGGTTCTATTATAGTCAAATTGGTGCAACGAGAAGGATAAATCTAACAGACAGACTGCAAATTAACAGGAGGTTACCTGAATTTGACTATTTACAGAACTCAGACGGATATGGCTTTTGAGGGCCTATCTCAAACAGTTAGCTCCAATTATGTTCCTATAACTGAAGCTAATTTATTTAAGACGACTCCTGAATCAATTTTGCAAGCAGACTGC